CCCACACCCACACTCACACCCAGACCCACACACACGCCCACACTCACCCAAACCCACACCCACACTCCCCCACACCCCACACCCACCCACACCCACACCCACACCCACCCACACCCACACCCACACTCACACTCACACCCACACCCACACCCTATCATTACTCTTCTTTATTTCTTGTTCAAATAAACTGAATTTAGACCCATTTTTCCTCATTCAATTTCTTCCTTAACTCATCTCCAGATTTCCTCAATAACAAAAAACAAAAAAAAATTCTAGACATATGTCACAGTTGACATGAGAATTTCAGTTGAGTTTGGAATGCGCGAAAAAAAATATAGAAAAAAAAGAGAAAACAAAATTAAATATAAACATAGATTTGAAGATAGAAAAAAGAGAGAGAGCATAAAAAATAAAATCTTTCTTTTTTTTCATCAATAAATCTATTTGATTCAAATTGAATATTATTACAATATTATGAATGGATTTTTATAAAAGATTTATAATATTCATTCTTATTTCATTTTACAAAAGAATATTTCATTTTCGTTGTATTCGTAGGGCTATATATAGTTGGTATTTATAAAAATTGTTTTGATTGGTATTAATAAATGAACAATTCATAAAATTTTACATTTGAAAATATTTTTATCTATGAAATCTGTGTGACAACCTCAAGATAGTCTATTTTATATTTTCTTATTAGATGTTCGTTTCTACGAAACGAAGATTCAGTCCTATGGCTATGACAACTTTTCTAATTAAGTTATTTCATTTATTGTTTCATTTTTAGCTTATCAAATTTAACTTTATGGAAATATTTATTTCGAAATTAAAGTCATACATCAACAATGTTGATGAAAAAAAAGAGAAAAATATACGATTAACAATGACATGTGTTCCAAAATGATTAAAGTTTTAAAACGTGAAGATATAGCTGTGTCTCCAAAATTTAAATTCTGGGTTCACCATACATTCTGTTTAATGGAAATCGGATTAAACGAAGTGATATATAATAAAAAATCTAATTTTCCATTGATAACACAAGGGAACATGTGCGAGAAGATTAAGGATTGTCATACAACCGTCGGTCATTCTATTAATTTCCTTTGGAGCCATTTTTAAATTTCTTTTTCATTTAATTAGTTCGGTTGACTTATTTCACACTTGAACTAATCTTGTTGATCTAATACCTCACCTCTTCCTTCTTTAGCGCACCATAAAATTATTCATCAATTCCAATACATATTCCATAAACTTTTTATCTCACTTTAAACGAATCGATCTGAAAACTTACTTTTATATCATTTACGCCCACACCATTCACCATCATCTTAAACAAAAATTGACTATTTTTACTTGATGTATCATTATATATGACTATTTATTCCATACGAAAAAAAATGATTAGTATCATCAAATATTTAATAAAGCTTTAGAAAAATATCGGCTTTCACATGCCAAGTCAACTGCTCGAAACTTTTAAACAATTCAATTGATTCATTCTGCATTACAAAAATACTTTATCCAGTTCCTATATTTTAAACTAACATCAAATAAAATTATTTAATAAAATTATTTTTTGAAATAAAAAAATCAAATCCGATCAGTATTTAAAAAAAATTATTTTTTACAATCTACCAAATATTAAACAATGAGAAAAGCCTAACTAAATATTAAATTATCTTTTACATCTGAGATTCGATTCTTCTGAATTTAATTATAATCCTACTGATCGACTACTCTGTAACAAATTAATCAACTCGCTAAAAATCGAACAACACGCATTTTAGACTAATATAATTAAAACAAAAAAAAAGTTCATGCCCCGCAAGTGTCGCTCATCGAAAAATTTATCTGTTTCCAAAGAAAAAAATTCTTTTTTTTTAAATAGAAATCTCAATGTCCCGCATGTCCCGCTGATCGAAATAAAATCTATCTATCTTATAAGAAAAAAAAATAAATTGTATATTTTTATCTAATAGAAATTTCAATGTCTCGCATGTCCCGATGATCGAAAAAATCTATCGATCTTATAAGAAAAAAATAAATTGTATATTTTTATCTAATAGAAATTTCAATGTCCCGCATGTCCCGCTGGTCGAAAAAATCTGTCTATCTTATAAGAAAAAAAAATAAATTGTATATTTTTATCTAATACAAATTTCAATGTCCCGCATGTCCCGATGATCAAAAAAAATTCTATCTATCTTATAAGAAAAAAATAAATTGTATATTTTTATCTAATAGAAATTTCAATGTCCCGCATGTCCCGCTGGTCGAAAAAATCTGTCTATCTTATAAGAAAAAAAAATTGTATATTTTTATCTAATACAAATTTCAATGTCCCGCATGTCCCGCTCATCAATAACATAAATAAAGAATCAAATTAATATAAACAACCGCCATATTATTTTTCCCTTATATTCTATATAAACTATTCTTTTAAGTTAATAATATATTTTATAGCATTCATATTTTTACTTTGTCTCTCGTAAAAAAGAATAATTTATCTATTATATGTGAAATAATCTTCTAAATTTACCAATTCTGTTTTCTTTCCTATTAATTAAAAATATAGATATAAATATTATTTCTATATTTATATGAATTCCAATCTCAACTAAATTCTCTAACCAACTGCGACATATATATATTATATACTTGTATCATTCCAAGTATATGTGAAACGATTTGCTCTATTTTCCATAATTCGTTAAAACAAATAGTTCTATTTTGACAACAATCGATTCGAATCCATCAAGAAGAATTTAGATCAAATAAATAGTTCAAACTTCACCAATTCGTAATTAACGAATCGAATCGATTTACATCAGACAATAGAAAAATATTTTTCTCCTTCATTTTTTTCAAAAAGTTCATCCTACTTGTCAGTTCGAAAATAAAATAAGTGTGGGTATGGGTATGGGTTGAGAAAGAGCCGCATCAACTCCCACACCCGCACTCACACCCATCCACACCCACCCACACCCACCCACACCCATCCCCACACCCATCCCCACACCACACACCCATACTCACACCCACACCCTATTGTTCTTGCTTAGTATACATTGTTTCTATCCTTTCGTATGATTAAACAATGGAATGATGGGAAAGAATACATTGATGAATTTCATGAGATATGTACAAAATTAGAAAATAAGTTTAGTAAAGATTACGACATGCATATTGTTAACTTATTACTGGCTTCAAATTATTTTTGCATAGCTTCATTGATTATAGCAATTGGTAAAACATTTTCATATGACGAAAAATTAATGTCGTTGTGTGGTATACAACTTCTCGTGTGTCCAACAAATCCAGAACGTTTTCTAGATGATGGCATAACACTTGAACTGCCTTATGCGTTATCCGAGTGCGGTGGTGGAAATGAAGAAATTAACATTCGACCAGAATTAGTTGACGATCAATCACTGTCCACATTTGTTCTTCGTGATGGTTATGATTGCTATGAAATGCGGTCATGGTCAGTTAATGAGCTAACTATTCTGGATGAATTTTAAAAAATGGATGAGTCGTTTACCAGTATCAGTATTTCTCGGAGATGAACGTGATAGAGATCCATTACTCTTGATCATTGATAATGTGTTTTCTTAAAATAAGAAGGCAAATCCAGAAGACAGTCTATCAGCTTTTCGTGGGTGTGATGTGGCTGCGCATATTCTTCTCGTCCTACACCCACACCATTTAGTAAGGAAAAATTATAAAAAAAGCCAATCATGAAAGTAACATAATTATGTCAAAATGACCATAAATGATAGTGATCGATTGTCGTATATCATACAATGCACGGTTGAGAAATGATCGCTAACGTACACTATATGAAAATTTTCTTCTTGTCAAAAAAACGATTCAAGTGTTTCCAAAGCATTAAGAAATAATCTCCTAGTTTTCTCTGAGAATTTTTCCGGTTTTTAAAAAGTGCATTTCATAACCCTATTCCTATACAAAGACTACCAAGAATGAGTGATCAACATAGTTATGTTGTTACTACACTTCATCAATGTGAAAGAACATTCATGCCTTTTGTTTAGAACGATATAAGGTACAAGAAAGACAAAAATGAGAACAATAAGAAAAAATAAAGTCATTTTAAAGATGTAAAATATTCGAATTCAACGATAATGTTTCACTCGAAATGGATCACTTTATGTGCCAAAAAAAATTGTTACTTATATTTCAAAAGAAAAGTTTTAATCGCATTTTTTTTAATCTAGACACCATCAGTGTACGAATTTCCTCAAATAAATACCATATAAATGTATATATATATGTGAACAGTAGAAAATTTGTACTGAATAATGAACAACTAATTTATCTTTCTAGTTTATCAGTAGACTCGCTTGTTATTTAACTATTATCAAATACATATGATAATCTCATTAAAAAAATTTACATCTCGTGAAACTGAACGCATTGATGGTAAACAATCTTTTAACCATTGAACAAGTTCATCTTCATTTCCTATTTTTCTAATTCCATATTTATCATTATCATTGTTTGTTAATGTTAATCGATGATAATACTTTTCATCTTCACATTGAACATGTAATGATAAAAGATTCATCATATTTTGTACAAGATAAATAATACTTTCACGATTCTTTATCTTAATGTAAAGAATTTCACATTGAATACCTAATGGTGAATGACATAATCTAATACATTCTTCATCATTAAAATGATAATAACATTCATTTAAATTGAATTGACGAACTGATGTATTTCTATATTGAAATAATGACGTTTGCAAAGGTAATGATGCATTTTGATAGATCTTTAGAGAATAGAGGTTAGATGCACGATCAAGTAAAGCTTGAATGTTAGATTGAAAATTATCAGCATGCGATACTACTGTAAGTGTTTTCAATCGATTGAAATTTGGTACATTAGACCAAAACTGATCATTCAAAGGAAATTTTATAGCAAGATATTCAATATGAGATACATGAATATTCAACGGCATTGGTTGGTCAAACAATGTTTCATGGACGCTTGTTATGCCATTGTACAACTCATGATGGTCACATTGTGGATCATTCAATTTGAACGATCGAGAAAGTTTATATCTGTCGTTATCAAATGTACTAGATAAAGTGGACAAATAAAGAATTTTTCCTTGTATAAAACATCGAACAAACCATTGATGTTCATCAATCCAAAATGCAGTTTGATATGATTTAATTAATTCATCAGCTAATTCCTCTATGTTTTGGTCAAAAGTCAGTAAATTTTCCATTTGAAATTGAAATATTTTAAGGCTCGGTAGATGATTAGAAATAATTTGTTCCCATTGATGGCCATCAATTAATGTAGCTCTTAAATTAATTTTTAAACTACATATATTAGGCATGCTTTGGAGAAATTTCATTATTAATGTATCAGATCCATCATAAACGTGTAAATTAAGATGCATTAATGATAAAACAGTAAGTGACATATGACCATAGTTGAAAGAAAAATCAATAGATACAGAAAGATTCTTAAGACGTGGTGTACATTCACACAATTGATTTATTTCATTAAATTTAAGTTCATTTATATATATAGATACACTTTCGATAGATAAAGATATTCTTTTCGGGATAGTAAAAAATGTTTTCGTTTTAGTACACAGATGAATATTGCATTGAATAAGTTTAGGTAAACTCCAAATATTGTCGACTATTGATTGAAAAATTTCTTTATTCTCTGGAACAACATAGAAGTGAAAGTGTAAATGAGTAAGATTAGATAAATAATGACATTGATCTATGATTTTCATTAATGTTCTATGAGAATGAAAGCTAGTTACTGCAAATGATTGTAAACTAATAAATTGATTGACTGGCGATGTATAAGAGAAAAATAGGTTCATTTGTTCTGGAGCTTCAATAGAATCAATAAGACTAAGAGAAGTAACTCGATCAGCAATGAATGATAGATGATGTTGATATATTTTGAAATTATGTTTTGACATTGTTTTAAAATTAAAACAATAATTTCGAAATTGATTGTAAAGAAGAATATTGAGTCGAGCATTAAGGCCATAAAAAGCATGAAGAAGATCAATACCATTGAAATAATCGAATAGATTGAGAAAAATTTCATTGGGTAACAATTCTAAATTCATCTTACTCATTTTTTTTACTTCTCTTAACGTTTTGTTTTGATGTATATGAGAACACAGAACACGACGTTTTTGTATATAATAAACGCAGAACAGAAACAAAATTTGTTTTTTCTTTCCTCTTACTAAGGTAACCATCGTGTTTTTCTATACCTATTATTAAGCAAATATACGCTTTACCATATAAATAGCACGTGGTTTTATATAATTAACTGTGATGAAACATATGAGCTATTGGATTTGAACTTAAAGTAATAAGATATAATTTGTAATAAAGATTACAACAATGATATTGTGAGACAGAATATACCAAATAAAAATAAGCAATTTTCATCTCTTTTTATATACTCATAAAGAAGAATATAATTGTAGACGTTGCCATGTATAAAGTGGAGACAAAAAATTTCGAAATAACTTTGTTTTCTTGATTTTCTGAGAGAGACAGTTCGTTTGGAGTTTCGAAATAGTGTTTTTGATAGAACTCATGACAGTCTAAAAGATTCAGGCATAAAGAATTTTTGAGCACTGTTATTTTTTAATAATGAGATAAAAAGATTTTGGCTAGCGAAAAAAGTTTAGAAAAATTTTATTAGTTCGTTTAATTGTCTCGCTATTTTTGATCATTGAACGCTAAATTCTATGCCATTTGGGGTTATCTATCGGTAAAAATTAGTTATTATTTTATCCATTTATTAAATAGTTAATAATTAATTGATACGAATTAATAATTAGTTATTATTTAGTGGAATTTTCAACTAATTAGGCCTTTTTAATCACTCCATATGAAAGAGCATTAAAAACTGCACTAACTGATATGTTTATCAGTTTGGATTTAGTTCCTTTTCTCTCATTTTCATAGTTCTTTCAGTTTTAATTAACAACTGTGTTTAATTAATTTAACTAATTAAACACTCAAATCAATGCTCAAGTTTGTAGAATACAACTGGTATTGAAGAACAAAATTTACTCTTTCGAATGATATATTGTAAACTCGAAAAGACACACTCTACTCGAACGATACGTAGCCTGTATCGTTAAGTACTGAATTCATACTAGATTTCCAGACATTTTCATTATTTTTTTTTCTCACATGTTTAAAAGCACTGTAAACATCGAGTGTGGATGTGAATCTGCTTACAGATGTAGCCTACATGAATAATTACACATCCACATCTCACACCCTTTGGTACTGTAGCACTATATAACGATTTACAAGTTTTACTAATACAATAAAATTCTTGATCGTGTATTTTAATCATCATTATTGAGCAGAAGTTACTCGAAACTGCTTGAGACATTAACATAAAAATCAACAATAGCAAATACGTCTGCATGATCATAAAGCAAAGCAACAAGATCTGCAATAAATGAAATAAATTTAGCTGCTCTAGAAAACTAATAAATAACACGATCTATTAACAGGAAGAAAAACAAAGCACTCATTACGCTACTTTTTAGCACAATTGTGTATCGCTTGACAGACAGTTTTTTTTTCTGCCCTTTCTCATAGAATATTTTTAACTTTATTTTTCTTTTATAATTCAGAGATTGACGGTTTAATTTTATATCCTTGTCTGTTCATATTGGAATAAATAAAATATTTTGAACACTCCAATTTAAATTAAATGGCATTTACGGGATGAATATTTTTAGTCACAATTTTGAATATAAGCCTTTATCGTTCATTGTAACATTTAATCAAAGTATCACGATCAAAATATAACCAAAGAGAAGTTGTCGTTTTCCTACTCACTCTAGAATCTAAGAAACTTTGTTCTATTCTGCTTCTGCTTTTGAATTCTAGTTTGTTCTTTTTTCCATTTTTTCAATTATTGCTTCTATATAAAGGTCTTAGAAACAGATAAAAAACGAAACTATTAACCAAGGTGGGTTACTTTTTCGAAGAAGGCAAGTTTCGTTTCTTTCTCCATCAAAATTTGAAGCAATAGTTTCAGAGTTCTTTTGATGTAGCGATTTGAGAACTGACATTATAAGTTAGCGGCACAGCAAAACTATCCGGCTCTTTCTAATTAGAATGATGGTTTTATAATATGCAGAAATCATTGAATGGCTGTAAAGCAAAATTTTTCCTACTCTTACTTAAGTAATTGTAATTTCACAACAAAAAT